GCGCCGCTTTTTGCCGCGGCGACTCGGAATCCAAGACGGGAATGCCGCGGTCCGGCCGGAGGATAAGGAACACAGACTGGACCCGGTCGTTCACGTTGTAAATTGATCTTTATTACAAGAAATTACATGACTAATTTGTACATATAAAATATAAATATGGTACAAGTACTATGGTACAGTAGACGCTTGTGTGTGGTACGTTTTTGTGTCTTGTTCGGTATGTGTGTGTGCGCGCGCAGGTGTGCATCCGTGTACCGCCGTCTTCTTCAGCAGGTTTTGCGGAGATCTGTTAATTCCTTAATCAATAATCGAACTTACGGCGCTAGTACTCGGTTTAATCGTTACTAATTTGTATTTTACGGCACGACGGAGTAACGCACTCGCGGCGGCGCTTCTCTAACTCGAACGGAAGTGAACATTGGGAGATGGGAATGAATGATGAGAATTATTGAGGAAGGCAAGGTTTGGAGAAGATGATGGAATCGGAGACAATACAGGGCACGGTTCCGGTTCGAGTCAACTGAATTCGTTCCGGAACGACGTTTCCCTTCATTGTTTCGTCAAACCGGAAGAACGTGTCTCTAGGAAGTGATCGTCGGGGGAAGAGGAGATCGTCGTGCGTCATGAGCTACAGGCTCGAGTTGGTCGCAGGACGAGGTCGGGCTGAAATCAATTGGAAAGAATGGAGTAACCGTGAATATCGCGGAAGGACGATTGTTCGAGGGTGAAGATTACAGCGTGGTCGGCAGTGACGGGTTCCAAGAACAGTCTAAATCACACGGACGAATAGCGTACGGGTTCCTTTAACGACGGACAACGACACAGGAAATTCGGCATACATCGTTTGGTTCCGGTAGCTTCGAGAATATTTCTCTGGAGCGACGGGAATCGGCGGTTCTACGTTGCGATCTTGAGAGCGCTTACGAATTGTACGGTCTTGGCACGTTGCTGTAACCAGTCTGACAGGGAACGTTTGGCAAACGACATACGACAATTTTTGTGGTTTTACATAATTGCTTGTTGAATTGATGCGAGAACTTTACCGTATTTGGTTGATGTTACTTTTGTACTTCAAAAGGAAAACTATTTCTATTCGCCCCTTTTATGTAGAGGCTTACAGGTCGTACTATTATAGAGGATATCGAAAAAATATTTGCATAAATTTTATGTCCCTTCATATGTTTAGTGGAAATAATAATTTTTTGTAAGAGAAATGGCATTATTCAATGGGTTACTTCAAACATTCTTAGTTTTTGTTTAGGAGAATAAAGACTTCCTTTTATTTGAATTTTAGCAATATAATTTATAATTGTTATAATTATTTGCGTGTAAAATTTTCGTCTTAATTTTGTGTATTTCGGTATTAGTTTTTCGTATGTATTATGTAATATTTATTTTTAGTTGAGGTGTGATGTTTAATTCTTGCTATTCTCGTAATACTTGTTGTAATGACTCTATCAAGCATAAAAAGACAGATAAAAATAACGAAAGTTTGTTAAGTCGATATTGCATATAATTTAGACCTACATCGGAAGAACAATAAATTGGAGACGGATGAGAACAAGGTCCTTGCCAAAATCGAAATGAACAAATGGAAAACTGATAGACATATTTGTGGTACATGAAAACCAAGATGAAGCGTAAGAGTCCACCAGGAGGGTTAATTAATCAATATGTAGGCTACGTAAATTGGTGCCAGATAACTAACCTGACGTTGATATTTCTTCAATAAGAGCATATCATGCTCTTGCGGAGACATGTTACATCAATTGCCTCTAACCTACTTGCAAGTGACACCGCAATACTCACTGTTAATTTATAAGATGTGAACATTGTAATCTGTAATGATATTTCCAACCAATAAGTATATTAATTAGAAGATAGTTGCGATATTATGAAGGTTTGACCAGGAATAGAAAATAAATAGATAATATGATAAGAAGTGATCTCAATCTGCCTATTACTTGACATAGCGGGGCTGTGATTGCAGCATGTCTGAACCTGCATGCAGCTCGTTACTTTACCCTATCGATACCACTGCTTCTAATATATACATGTTAATGATTTTTAATTTGCTATTTTCTTTACATGCATTCAACTTTATCTATTCGTACAAGCTTAAATTTATTTAATTGTGTTGACATAGGTAAGCTATGCGTTTAACATTTATAACTCTTAGAAGTATTCTTGTAGTAACTGTTGCGATAACCTTATCGAGTATAATAACTAATTGCATAAATAACTTTTGTAGAATTATTTCTCCGAATCTTTTTCCAGGAACACATTAGTCCAGCAAAAACAGTATAAAATTTATAATAAATATTCGTTCAATATCTTCAACATCGTCGAGAAGTTACAAATAAAAGGGGTAACCCCTCCCCTAATCTACTAAAACAGCACCAACTAAATATCACAAAAACCCTAGATCAATTCAACAAAATCACATAAAAATCAGTATGCGTCACTTACCAAATGTCCCCTATGAGTACGATTAAGCTCCTCGAGAATCGTCGAGCGAGAATTCTCAGGATTTTCGCGGACCGACGCGGCGGCCGCGGTTCACAGGCATCACGGAACAGTATAAAAATGGAAATTAAGCTCATAGGTTGGCAGTGCAAAGTCAGCGAGCCGAGAACACGGTTCGCAGCGGCACTCAGGTAGACCAAGGTAGCTTGGTCAAAAAGGAGCGAGCGGTTCTTTATCGATACACCGGACCGGACTCGCTACGAGCCATATCAGACCGCTGGAATTCTCTCTATTTCTGCTGCGCATTACCGCCATTCCCGATTTATTTTCATCCCGTCTATTTTCATTCTCTCCGGCTCTCCCTTCCCACTCCCAGTCCCCACACACCCACCCACGTCTTCTCGATGCGCGACTCTGACGTTTAAACCCAGGTACACGCACTCTCTGTCTCCGTTTCGTCTCGATGATCCGTCTCACGCGCAACCATACGTTTCATCCTGTACACACACCCGTTTCCCATCTGTTTTTCTCTTCCTCCGCGTCCTACATTCTACCAGAGAGCTCTCTTGCGTACCGAACACGAACCATTTTACAAATTACGAATACGCTTACTTATCGAAAAGTAACTTCCCTACGTGACGCCTTATCAGCCACACTCGCGCTTCTTGTCGTCGTCCTCCTCGCACTCGCGTCCCTCTCTCATTCGCGCACACAATGTCCCTCCCATTCTCTTTTCTCCACATTCGCCCGCATTCTTTCGCATTCCCATCGGTCCTCGCCTCTCTCTAAGTGAATTACAGAGCCCTACGAAGTGCGATAACTGCTGATAACGATTAAAGCTACGATAATATCTTGAATGAATGTGCGTGCATTAAATACAATGATTACGACGCGTTTCGTCAACTCTCAGTTTCACCCTTCGTCTCTTACGTACTCTCTCCATTTCTCTCTTTTTCATGGTTTATCCTAGATCCTCGTTCTCCCCCGATCGTTTTGGCAGTCCGTCACGGGATCGTGACCATGGCATCTTTGCGCTGGGTATACCATGTTCTCCGTTATCTATGTCTCTATGTATCCCCTCCGTTCATCTACATTGGTTCGACATGTCGTACAAATTCGACGGGGCACGAAAGAGTCTCATCTCCTCGAATTTCAATCGCTAAACACCGATCGAGGGACCGTTTAGACGCCTGATTGTACGCAATTATTTTTTCCTATGACCCTCGATTTTCCCTCGTTTTTCTCTGTCGCTATCGATCAAGAGACGTTTGCTCGGCACATCGGTACGCTAACTTCCCTTTCGACGCTGGTCGTCCGGTTCTAAAGAAGCGGATTATTTTCTAATTCGTCGGTGTTCCCGAAGCTTGGCTCAACGAGGTTCGACTGACAGTCTTCGTCACCGGAAGCCGTGTTCCGTTCACCGGCCCAGCAAAAGCGACCCGGTTAATTTACCTAAACAGCGACTCTGACGATCGGTATAAAAAAATGCAGCACCATCTCGCACGCTAAATTACTTTAAATCAACAAGTATCCCGACTGGCAGCTTGGTGACCGCGTGCTACGCTATCTCAGCCAACAATCGTGAGCGTCGCGTAACATCTCGGACCGGAAACGATCGGAACTCGACCGGCCCGTGGCTGAGCGCGACGCGCGCGAGTTCCGTCGCCGTTCTCGCGACGTTTCCGCTGCGGAAAGTGGCGGAAGCCTTTCTTATTATCGATTACACGTGTAACAATAGCGACGACGTACGACGACGATCACGACGATATAACTATGCCATTTTAACAACTATTGGACGGAGTCGAGCGACATCGTTCCGTTTCATCCCTTGTCATCATCGGCGACCTCGCTCGTCTCGTTTTCTAATCGTGTTTGCCGGACTCCTCGGTTGTGATCAGCACGCGGTGGTGCGCGCTGACCCGAGTCTAGGTTATGTGATCCGAATCCCAGACGGCGGTTTCGTCTGCCGCGTACACTGTTGCCGGGGACAGGAGTCGAAACAAGTGACCAGCAGCACGTGGCTCTTGCACGCCTCGACCCGTTTCTGCAGGATGCACGTTTCCACCTCGAGCGCCTCCAGAAACGACGGATTCCGCCAATCCATCCCGTTCTCCACGTGAACTGCAACGTTCGGATTGTTCGGTTTTAGTTTTCTTGAGAAATAGTATGCAAACGTAGGGGGATGTATTCAGGTTTACGTTACGGGAAATCTAAATTTAAGATAATTACATATTCATCAATTAGTATTTTCCAGTTTATATTTTCGAAACATTATTAACAAGAAGTTTCACCTATGGGGAAATAAAGTATTTGAATGAATTATAAAGGAACTATTGCAACACGAAAATTTCGATCTACTTAAATCTTCCTAGATTCTGCATACTTTCTTCATATTAATAAACCTGGCTTTATTATACCAAGAAATAAATTTTATTCGCAACATTTCCCCATGTGCACTATAATTGATACATTTACTAAAGATCATAAAAATTTATGTTAATCTTCGATAGAAATTTTATACACGAAGAAGCAATAACTACAGCAGCAAAAGTTTTGGTCTTTTAAAAGAACTTCAAAAGAATGTCCAAGTTTTCATGTTACCGAAGTTCTCTATAGTCTATTTAACGACATGAAACGGTAGACATAAAAAAATACATTCACAAGTTAATCACGACGATTTGGCTGACACATACAATTGTCTCAGTCGTACTTAAGTTAGCTACCGCTCATTCTTGTTTACATTTACCGCCTCCTTTGTTGAAGAGACCATAGTCAGTTATAAAGACAATTCATGAGAAACTTGCTACTGTGTCGTCGTTAGAGAAGACACTTACGGTCGTAGCTCCAGCGGTCGTCGGGCACCATCAGGCGCTTCTTAGCGTTACGAAGCTCGAGCCTAAGAAGGCGCTGGCGTAGTCGCAGGTTGTGTATCCTGGACATCGTGCCACGTGGATCCGAGCGCAACTGCGCGCGCTTGTCCAGGATGTCCACGTCCTCGCTTGTGTACGCGAGTATCCCTGGCACCGCGGACGGCGCCCTTGGCAGATGGGCCCGGCACTGGACCCGTGACCGGAGCCCGCACTCTGCCGCCCGCCGTTCCACCGCTGAAACACCCGCACAACGTCGAGGTTAGAACCCCCAGAGCGCCACCTGAGGAGAATCACCGTACGGAGGGACCATTTTAGAGGGTTTGCACATCGTTTACACGGGGATGTGAGCGAGATACTTCATCCACGTCTCTAAGGACCATTATTCATTATAATTTTACTCCTCATACTAAAGACCACCATCCAAACGACAAGGTTCAAATATATTTTAGATGGAAAAAGTTAAACTAAATCTGTTCATTTCCATTAATTGTTTATTCTTAAGCTATAATCTAGCCGGAGATCGACGTTTGAATGATGTTTCATGTGCGTTATCTGGCATGCGATAATTTATATACAGAAGAAAGAAGAGAAGAGAGAGCGAGGGTGAGAGAATTAATTTTATTGCATTTATAATTTATGTAGCCCGATCACTAGAAATATATTCTTATCCACAAGTTCTATTCGTTCCTTCGACCGTTCGAGGATCACCATCACTTGTTAATTACGGCTCACACGGTTTTCCTCATTACTCCGTTAATTAAAATCCGCCTACTATTTCAATGGGAAAGTTTTTCTCGGCTGAGCGTGCCGGGCGGAACGCGGCAATAATTCAAAAGCTGTATCAATGACATGCATCAGCAACGCTGTTAATAATTACGTTCTCGTTAACCAGGAGAAATTTTAAGGGGTCGGGGAAGAGGATGGGAAAGATTGAAAGAACATGCGATTAAAACGTGCAAAAAGATCGCATTCGAGAATTTCGCATTGAAAGTAATATGCCGCAGTACTTTTAGCCATTCTGGCTACCGTGCGATCGAGCGCGTATTTAATTAATAATTAATCGTTTCGTCGCTAATTGGAATGTATCCCTGAACGCCAGTTCCCGTTAAACAGGCAACCGGTTCGAAATTTCGAGCGAAAACTAACGAAAGTTTGCGAGGATGAATATCCACTACCTTGGTGTTCCTGGAGAGCGCTGGTCTGCCTGGAGGAATCGCTCGCGATGCTGCTTGTCTCGCTATCCCGCACAATACTGTCGTAGCCAGAACTTTCGGCACGATGCCTGGACAACGTTGCCGGCGAGAGTTTTGCTGCTCGGGGCGTGGAATCGGCACCGGAATCGTAACCCTCCTTATTCAAACCCAACGAAGAACCCAAACTGGTGATCTTACGTTGCATTCGACCCGAAGACGGAGCCGGCGATGGAATCGACAACTGCAGCGGAGTTGTTGCTGCAATGTGGGATTGTTGTGAACGGAAGCTCTCTCGCTTTCTAAATCTGTTGCTTGGATTCTAAAGTTCAGTTACGAGAGCAAAGTTCTTCGAAGTGAATAGATTCAAATCGATGGAGCTTTACACTTGGTTCTGTCCTATTTAAATTCTGTGTATCTCGGAACATTACAACTGATAGAAAAAGACGATTCTTATTTTGTATAGCTATATTACAATAAGGTAAAGATTAAAAATATTTATTTTTCCGTTGCAGTCATTCTTAATCGAGTCAATTCGTAACTTAAAATTTCATGATGACAAATTGATTAGTAGGACTTCAATAAAGTCGCTATAACATTAGTCATAGCCTTTCATATATTACAGAAATTTATCAATATTTTCCAACAACCAACAAATAAAGCTACAAAGTTCCAACATGATATATTTCACTTTATTTAAACGAATTCCATCACGTCATTTTCCAATAATTAAAATAAAAAGTCCTTTCAAATCTAGAACCACCACATATATTGAAATCCCAGTTTTCTTGTTTCACCGTTATAAAAATCATAAAGGCGTTTATATTCGAACTGATTTAAAAAAAATGAATATCTTCTTCTGTACAATGTTATACAAAAACTTAAGAATCTTACTAACTTAAGAATTGGATAATTTCAAGTGTTATTTATTTCGTTTAACCATAAATTAAATATTACTTTTTTATTATCAATCGTTAACCTTTTGAGTAAACGTAGACATACAATAAAGTTAAAAATTTGTTCTGCCCCTAATAAATTATTAATGATAAAATAATTGCATCAATTTTTGATAACGAACAAACATTTACCTTGTATCTTGAGATCCTCATCAATGTCTGATTTCCCGGTGACAGTTCTCTCTGATCTCTCAGCCGCAGTGAACAACTTCTTCGCCTCAACATACTCCTCCTCCGGATCGGAACCCGAGGCTCCGTTTCCCGGTAGCCTCTCCACTTCTTCTTTGAGATTAGGATTCGAAGCGCCGTCTGGGTGCCTCAAACTAGAGATGTTGCATTCGCCGAGCTTGCCGCAGTATCTCCTTGGGCTGGCTATATGCGCCACGCTGTTCGGGTACCAATAGGAGGCCGTCGCCGGCCTCGACATGCTCTGACGACAGTTATCGCAGATTTTCTCCTGATCGGACTTGCCGGCGATGTATGCGGGTTCGCTGTAGATGCTGCCGTGATTGCTCGCATTGTCGTTGAACATCACATCCGACAGGGACAGGGATTGACAGCGTGACGGCGGACGGAAGACTGGGGCGGCTGGAATTTGTCCTGCGTTAATATTATATTTGTTGTAGACCAACGGCGGTTGGTGGACAATATTGTTTCATTTGGTTAGTTGTTTTAGTTAATTTGTTATTGGGAAGACTGCCTAAAAAAATTGATTGTTTGAAGCATAATTGATGAAATGAATTGAAATGTGCAATAGTGCTCGCTTAATGTTTGCAACGTAGGATTTGTGGTACGAACATTATACGGGCAGACAGATGTTCTTAAAATGACTGCTAGTTAGTCTGCTCGGTTCACATGATTCTTGATAGGTGAATAACGAGCATGAGAAATATTAAATTATAGTGATAAAATAGAGAAAAGGGGATAGACAAGTAGATGATGCAGTTCGTACAATTACAGAATGATGTTTGAATAAATTATTTTGTTCTGCAAATAGTATTTTATTATTGTATTAAGATAAAATATAATGTATTAATATAATGTATTAATACAATAACAAATTATTACTTTGACCACTATCATTATTTTTAAGTTTTGTATTACGCATTAATATAATTAATTTCCTGATTATACGGTAAAGAGTATAAACATTTTATTTTCCAGGAAAGCAGTTTTATGAAATTATGGGAATGGCTGAGAAAACGTACGAACTTAAGCGGATACGACTGTGTATAATATAATAGCTCCATAATACAGTAAAACTCAGAGACAGCTACTAATGTTCCCTCTTCATTTCTTTATCTCTTATTCCCCCGCAGCGTCTGTTTCGTGTTTATGAAAATTTACATTTTCATAATTGAAGCATCTTAAACCCAAGGCGGGTTAGAATTCTATTTCGTATCTTAACTCTTTGCATTATAATTTATTTTATGGCTGTGATCGTAGAAGTAGTTTTATTATTAATGATTGCCTGGAAACAAAAGAATTTATATACCTGTTTGTTGAACGGATAAACGTGTTTAAAAGGCTAAGTATTCATATACACAAAACAGTATTTGCCCCCAATTAATATTGCTTAAATAACATTCACATTTATAAAATTGAATTTAAAGACTTTGCCAAGAGGCCTACCTGATATTATAAATAACCTGTTAATATTATAGGGTCAATTGGTTAGAAATGACGTAAAGAAAAACTTAAATCCTATTCAAATGTTTATTCTATTCTTCTCTGAAGACCTATAGAAGCTACAAATTCATAAAGATCCTCACTCTGGCTACCTAATTGTTATTGTATCTGATGTCACGAGAAAACCACTTAATGAATCCGAAAGGTAGCTTTCTCAAGTAGTCTGTTGTATTCAACTAATTATTTATTTAAATATTATCGTCGAATACAATAATATCTTTATCCTCTTAGAATCGAAAGATTAACTGAAGATTGAAATCAGTGTTGGGAAAATCATAATCTAATTACATAATTACTTAAAGTAATTCAAATTTAATAACTGATTTAATCACAAGAATCTTTCATAATCTTCAATTCTTACTAATGTACAATCAAAGTTTAAGTAATTACCTAACTCACATTCAATAACTACAGACAATAACTTGCAAATGAATAAAATTACATTTTAATCGTTACTTTTAGTATACAATAAGATTACATTTCCTTCAACGCTGACTAAAATAAACGTGTACAAACTTACATGGAGCTTCTCTAACATTGGAAGAGTTCTCCCTCTGGTAGGTTACAGAGTTGGAGACATTGGCGAGCGCGAGTTTGCTTTGGTAAAGCTCGTGCAGTCGTGCCAACTGGTCGAACTTGTGCCTGGTTTCCTGCTCCAGGAAGTCCTCGTGGTCGAAGTACGGCCTAGGTAGTACACCCGCACAGACCGGTGGTGGATACTGAGGTCTGTAACGCTCCGTGTCCGACATCACCGACATTGAGTCTAGAAATTGACATACTTTTTCCGTTTTGCACCGCAATCTTGGTTCATCGAAGACAGATGGGAAGAGGAAAGAGAAAGACGGCGCGTATTTAGCTGGAAGATACGTATTCCGATCAGAGTTCGAAGACGGAAAGTATTAACGAGTAATTATATCGAACAGGCTACATTCTCTATCCTTCTTTTCTCTGCTTTGTCGCAATGCTATCCGCCCCTTTCTCCTTCGACATGATTGTTTTCCATCGGGCGCGCTATTACGGAGTCCGCCGGATCTAAGAACCGACTCTCCGTGGAACAGTCTACGAAGGCATGCCTCGAGAGTACTTGTAATGGAAAAAAGGAAAGGGAAAACAGATTCATCGTACCGTGGAACAGGATTCACTATAAACGTCAGGAAATATTGTCGGAGAACTACCTGAATATTCCGTAGCAACGATGGTCTTGTAACAATCTAAGATCAAGTTGAATCTCGAGAATTCTTTCTACAAAAAGGCTCGCGACTCGAATGGAGATTAAAAACTCGAATGTGTAATCAGGATGTTCGAGGTAGCCAACTAAATATATGAAATCGTCTGCATATTTACCAGTGAAAGTCGAGACGACCGTAAGATTCTCCTGGCTCAATATCCGCAAAGGATGTTCCTCCTGGTCACTCTCTGGAAGAGGATTCTCTCCCATGCACATGGCGATATCTTCTTCCGTAACTTGGAGACATGAGTCCTGCATTGGTACAGGCTCCAAATCTTCGACTTCGACGATCTCCAAGATCTCATCCTCGGAAGACAAAGAATGTCCAGACGGCAGCACGATGTCCTTGTGAGACAAGTTCAGACTTTCCATCGAAACCTCTCTGCTAACTCCGTTGCTCAATGGTTCGATGAGAGGCAACGGTGGCGGTACGACGATCTCCTCGTCGTCATCTTCATCCTCCTGCAGGTCTAGTTTTCCTTTATCTAAACTATCATCCATAACCGGACTGGCAGTCAAGTCTAAACCAGAATCGGTGTTGGACTTGACATTCAACAGGTTCAGTTTGACGCCCAGCTTCTCAGTGATGTCCTCGATCTCGTTAGCCTTCAAACTATCGCTCTCCGCCGTGGACAACGAGGTATCATCATCATCTATGCCAGCGCACGTCTTGAACGTAGTTAGCTCCTTGAACTGCGACGACTGTCCAGATATCTTAGATCCCTCTATCCTAGAGGCTGCGTGTTTGCTCCTTTGAATCTGCGACGACTGGTTCTCGACCCACTTTCTGATCATGCTCTTCTTGTGGCTGTCCATGAAACCGTAACCGCTGGAATGTTGCTGAGCATGCAGCTGCAGGGTAGGCGGACCGGTTAGCTGCATGGGCCCGTCTATCCAGGTTTCTCGCTTGTGATGAGGATCCTTAAGCATGTGTCTAGCTTCCGCGACCTTCGACTTCGAGATCCTAGGCCCGTCGATCCACTGTTCGTCCGATCCTCCGCTCGGAGCGGCGACTGGAATCTTGCTACCGGGTGAATCGTTCACTTTGCAAGAGGATACTTTAGCTGCGGCGCACTTCCTGGCTGGGCTGGCCTTAGGGGTTGCAGTGTGCGCAGGCGAAGTTTGCTTCGAAGCTGTCTGCGTCAGTGACTTTACCACCTTCGTCGCTTTATGTACAGGGCTGCGTTCCTCAGGAATCTTCGAAGGTCTTTCCGCACCCGATCCGCGCAACGCTTTTCCCATTGCGCAGCGATTATCGCCTGAGTTCAAGCTGGGCAGGTAGACGGGTGGATGTTCGCCGTCGGTCGCATCGTCGGTGCTTGGACCAACGTAGATCACAGTGTCCGCGGACAAGTCGCTCGAGCTAGGATCGCACTCGCTGTTCTGCCTCGCCGCTTCCTCGCCCGAACTTCCGCCGCTGCCCGTCCCTTGCGTTCCGCCGCCGACGAACTTGATCTTCCTCCGCCTCATTCGGTGGATCCTCGAAGCGAGCTGCACGGTGGTTAGCGTCTCGGTGTAATGTTGGGCGTTTGGAGACACGTGGGCGATCATCGCGGCGTGACACGTCAACGAACCGAGACACTCCTTCAGTAATTGGGTTAGCTTGTGCTCCTTATACGGCAAATGCTTCTGCCCGTTGAAGATCGCGAGCAGGATGTTCCCTAGGCCAGATAACGGAATACCGCCCGACGCCTTGCCGCGATCTGAATTGCCGAGGTCCATTAAGTGCAGCCTACTCCTGCCGCCGGCGACTGGGGAATTAAGAAAATCGAGTATTCTATTTTGCCGGTTCTGGTGGAATCATTGGGTCGGTTCTGTTCGCGGATAACTGGCATGGAATTGTTGGAAATTGTTTTGCGAGAGCGGAGGGATCCCTTAATAAGGATCCTTTGATAATAAAATTACTGTGTTTTGACTCGACGTCATCTTTCTTAATGAGATATCCAGCCAAATTCAACGAACAACAACAGTATGCCATTTCATGATATTCATTTACCTAATCTACTTTACGAAAAATAATAAGAAGTAAAAATTATCAGTGAATAACAATCAAGAAAATATGAATAGGCTTGTAAGCATAATTCATAATTGTCACTTTTAACATTTCGATATGCTAACATTATCTTAATATAATTATAATTTAAAAAACATAGCAAGGAAACCGGCAACGAAGTCATATGAAGTTACATAAAAATTCTGTTTGTGCTGTCCCTCACACGAAGCCAACAAGTTTTAAATCCAACTTTTAGCTGTATAACTATTCAATCCACGTGGTTAAATACTTTTTTCGTCCTAAAACACCTCCCAAGAAGAAAGGCAGTTTCTTTAATTCGAATGTGTACTGTCAAAGAAACTCTGCCGAACATTTACTCCAGCTCTGTGCAAAGTTTCATCGGAACAAACGTATCACACTCGGGCGACGTCTTCGTTGGAAGCGTCAATTTTCCGCGAAAGGCAGCCACTCGGACCAGAAGAGCTTCGAGGATCTCGCGGAGGGTCGTCGACAAACGCGATTTACGAGCGGTGACTACAAAGAAGACGTTCGAAAAAGGAAAAACAGAAACTTACCTCCACCCTTGCCGGCGACACTGTACTGATAAACGTGAAGGGTGTAGAGCATGTGCGCGTCGCCGTCCTCCCGCTGCCGTCCGGCGACCGCTGCGTCTAAATAGAACGCGGCCCGTTCCGCAGTCGGTGCACGGAGCTCGCTGTGCTGTTGCAGTTGCAGGCTGCCGAACAGCGGGTCGTCCCTCAAGTACACAGCCGGCGACTGTTCGGAATCTGGAAACAAAGAGCCATAGCAAATTACGTTACATGCATCCACAGTTTGCTTACTAGTGTAGCGAACTGAGCGATTATTAACTCGTAAGTAGGCGCATTTATGATAAATCCAAAGATATGCAGTCTCTGATAAAAGATTTGCCACCACCATAGTTTTTACACCACATTTTTCGCGGTAATCGTGGTATTGGACGTCCAAAAGGTAATTTAATAATCATTTCTTTGTCGTAGTGTTAACCTTGTGTACTCGAGAAAGTGTTCCACTAGGAATATTCAACATTTCCTGATGAAGTACAGATGACATTTTCTGAAATTAACTTGACGAGAAATCGTAGAAAAATTGAGGTACAAAACTATTTTATTTCAATATTTCACGTATTGACGCATTATACAAGTTTAATATTAAATATCAAACTTTACAATTTTGAGAGAGGCCGCTGGAGTGCAAAGGCTTAAGACCAAGAGTAAAGCAAAGAAATTAAGACAAGTGATTACTAAATCATTGCTAATATTCTCAAAGACGGCATCAATGGTAGCCTTAATTTTTTAATCAGTGACTGTAGAGAAATAGAAACAACAAACAGAAAAATCAAATAAACAAGCAGAGACCCTGTCAATTGATGCGCATATTTAAGGGTTAATGACCGGCTTGTACTTTAGATTGTACGTTCTAATCTTTTAACACGGAGACTCGATGGATTGGATCGTAGTAAATTCATTCTCGAAAGGATGTTTTCAAGAAGAATTATTTGAACACGTTGTCTGCACCTTTAGGGGTGCGGAGAGTACTATTAGACCATTCCATAATGGCTGTCGCCCACTTAACACTGCGCCCACCGATTGGGGAGAAAGCCCCGTTTCAGAATATATTGCTGCGGTCGGAGAGATCTCTTCGGTTTGCTTAAATACATATAGTGTATACGTATTAGATACGATCTTTTAGTATAGATGTAGTATTATTCATAGGTTTCAGTGAACTTGTAATATTTAAAATAATAATTCACAATTGATAACAAAATGTGGGGTTGGTGGTGATTGTATGAAAGTTTTTCTATCAGGGCATGCATGAAGTTTCACATACGGAGAAGAACTATGTTCGTACGAAAACTTCTTCAAGATTATATCTATGACACAAGGAAGATATATGATCGTGGAAGATGGAACGTACCTGTAGATTTTTTAGTGTATCAGTGCAAACTCTGTTCTGAACTTTCTAATACTTAAAGAAGATATGAAATTGAGCAGCATGTTTTTATCACTTTTTGATGCCACTTGCATGTTTAATGGGTTCTAAACTTTAAGTACTAAATAATTTTGTTCAGCGAAACCATTACAACTCAAATAAAAAGTTTTATTACTTTTTAATAGCATTCTCACAGATAAAATTTCTAAATCGTGACTAAAATCTTTATATATAGCATCTACCACTAGTTTAATAATCTATAAGGTTATAATGAATTAGGAGAATACCTGATTATCTCTATAGATAAATATTTTACAGTACAATAATCGAATTTATAACCATCACAGAGGTTCTGAATGTTTCACGTTTATCTACGTCTTTAATTGGATCATATTATAACACAGAAATACCACTTCCTCCTCGTTTATTATCAAAATAGAAAATCCCACGTCGAATCTACCAAACCCAACAAAGATTATTGAATTTCCGCTCCCTTTACGATGGCTTAATAAACACAATTACATTACGGTAGTAACCTGAATAAGCCCTAAAGATCTTTAATAACCGATATAAACCAAGTTACAACAAGAGAGACATATCGAGCCGCCCTGTACATACCAGAAACTTCTCAATACCCTTCATAAACCTCGCGGCCGGCTATTCAATGGTTGTTACTGTACATTCAATCTGAGATCTTTTTCCCGTCCCACACGTTTTTCAATTATCTCTGTGGATCATCAAACACCGTAGCTACTCGGGAATCTTCGACGAAGACTGAAGCCTTGAATACACCCATTCCACGGGTCGTCGTTTGATTCCATTATTCAGTGGAAAAAGAATATCCCATAAGGGAAGTACACGATGATACAGGTGGCCGACAGCCTAGATCGTAAATCGACTTCGCCCGGCCACGGAATATTACACGGGACGTCGCACGGTGAATTACTCCGCCAATAAAACGTCGAAAGATGTTCGCGGGCAGATACCACGAGGCCCGTTATCACCGCGAATCGACGACTGGGCGCGTGTTCAACGACGGACACGGGTCGCCGCGCGAATAATCAACGTAATGCGGATCGTAGCTGTAAATAGTGATCAACGTAAAAGCACTGTTACGGTTCTGAGATCGTGGATAGACGTCCGTGTAGATCCCGAGCCCTCCTTTCGGCTGATAATCAGCGCGAGATGGACTCCTCTAGAAGTCTTCGCCTCTCGGGATGAACGTGACCCGTTCTCAGATTTGTTTCAGGGTATTCTCCGCTGTTGCTGCTGCCTTTTCTCTGGCGTTTGAAATTTTAACCGGAAGTTCTCAGTGTACCCATCTAGAGGGAGATTAAAATTTTAGGCGACACGACGCGACGAACTTTCGCGCGGCAGACAACTAAATTTGTGAGCACTCGGAAGTCTAGGAGAACGACCAAGCTAGGAACTGCTTTCTCGAAAACACCTAGCGACTGCGGAAAGTAATGTACGAAGGAAAGGTGTAAACTTACTGATGAGTGCGGAGAGTATAAGCGAAGAGCCGAAAGTATACTTAAATTTAATTATTGGATGGGCAGGTTTTAATTAATTTTGTGCGTGACATTGATTAAAAATTCTGAAAAATATGACTTTCTGAAGAATTTTCCGGCAAAATAATCGGGGTTTGTTTAATGTTATGTGTATAACTGAAGGAAAAGTGAGAAATGTGAGTTTTCAGAGAATTATCCATCACAAAAATAGAAAAGATTCCTAATAACTCTGTAAAAATGTATAAAACCTTGAATAAAATTAGACAAAGAAGAGAGATGGAGCTATTTAATACTAAACTATCAAATAGTCAAATTAACTGGTTTATATTTTTAATACAAATTACAAAAATATTTGCACATTTGTAAATCAGTTGAATCAATAACCTTACAGGCAAGTATGTCTGTACCTTCCCACAATTGTAAAAAAGGAAAGCCCAGTTAAGTCATTCTGATATATAGTTTTAGCATTTATCTCTTAGGCTGGAAAGTAATTTAGGGATTTGATAAAATCTTGCGCGAGAAATCTTGTTTTTACCTATTTTACGCGGAAATATACACTAATCCTGTTTATTAATCACTTTTGTATAGAGTGGTATACTTCGAAACAAACTAATGCCTAATGTACCTAGACTATCAATGGTTATAAGATGTCATTGGCAATTTTAGAACAAAAATATTTCGACGTGCGTGGTACGTCTTTCCAACGTAAGCAGTTAACTGATATTAGCTGAGAATTAAGGAACCCATAAATCTTACATGAACAAGAAACTTAGAATCTATTTTAAACGGTAAGATTCTGAACAGCTCGTAATAATATGCGCGCCATCTGATCAGCTCGTAAACCTGCGTCCGCGTATATTTTACGTACAACTTCCTACCGGTGACATATTGTGCGCGCCTCGGCAAAAGCTTTCCGCGCAAAACGATAGAACAGCAAGAATATCTCGAGACAATGATGCTTATTATATATATATATTGCTGCAAGATGCGAGAAACATAACAATCCTGGAGCTATCTCGGAGTGAAACTACTGACTCCAATACATATAAACTACAAAAATTGCGACGCGTTGCTAAATTTTTGAAAACGTGCTCTATTAGCCATATCATTTATGCATTTCCATTTCAGATTTATAGTTGCTCACAAAAATATAACATTTATTTATAAATGGCTTAGAATAATAGTGACCTAGCTGCTAGTTCTATGTTCTTTGGAAGAAAATGCTTTTCTGAAATATTCTCGGATTAACTAAATACTATTATTACAACGTTATTAATACTAGAACCAACATAACAGTCAAACTGACTAGTTACGACTGTTTTGTCTCGCAATTATTGATACTTTAAAAGCATTGAATATTTGAAATAGCTTTGAAAATAAATAGTTTCACTTGAATACTATTATATAATGAATGTCTGAAGAAACTGAAAGTAATCTATTGTAACAATTTTTATAAGGATTATATATTAATCGTATTAAGTGCTTGGTAGTTTCAATGTTAATAACATTAATCATTATTAATTATTAACAGCATTAAATGTAATATTGATATTTAATTAATCCAAGAACATTCGAGGAAGGTTGTTTTTTTCTCGAGAACTCGGAAATAAAATTTAAATCACTACTGTTCTGAACCATTCATATGTGATATATTTTATTAAATTCAATAATGTTTTCTAGTGCACTGTATATAATTTCTATGGAATATATTCTAATTCAAAGTACATAAATGAAAGTATATGGTAATATAAATTATATTGCACCACTTCAACTTTAACCCTTTGCGGATAGATGTCGACATTTTGGAGAGATGAAATGTCCATGTGTGGAATACTAAGCCGCAAACACATGATTTAATTACTCAAACAGCAAGAGATCGAGACGTAGTTTCCACTTCTTCTATTGTTTAAGCAGTCTATATATAATTTAGCTTCATCCGTTAAATAATATACAAGGTATTGTATATTTTAAATAATCTTCACCCGCAAAGGGTGAACATTCACTAAATCTGTAAAACATATTATACAATTAATTCGGCGAATATTTAGTAATTCTATTCATTGCGTTTTCCCATCGCCACGTTTCCGAAAATTAATGTAACACGGAAACCCGTTCGCAATGATAGCAATAAACACTTTCATTCTTTTTGCCGCACGTTTTTGTCTCGTCATCAACAACACGGTAGCTGAACGGTATCGGTGTCGATGAGACGTTTAGATAATCCCTTCCGTAAATTGCCAATTAGCGTTTTACTGTCTCACGGGACGCGTCTCTGGCCTTTCGAACACTGCTACCGACGTCGTAAA